GTGTGTGTGTGTGTGTGTGTGTGTGTGTGTGTGTGTGTGTGTGTGTGAGTGAATGAATGAATGAATGAATATGAGTGTGTCTGTGTGTGTATCTGTGTTTCTGTGTCTGTGTCTGTGTCTATGTGTCTGTCTATGTGTCTGTGTGTCTCTGTGTGTCTGTGTGTGTGTCCCCGTGTGTGTCTGTGCCTCTGTGTCTCTGTGTCTCTGTGTCTGTGTCTGTGTGTGTCCCCCCGTGTGTGTGTCTGTCTGTGTGTGTCTGTGTGTGTCTGTGTGTGTGTGTCTGAATCTGTGTCTGTGTCTCTGTCTCTGTGTGTGTGTGTCTGTGTGTCTGTGTGTCTGTGTCTATGTGTCTGTGTCTGTGTCTGTGTGTCTGTGTGTGTGTCTGTGTGTGTGTCTGTGTGTGTGTCTGTGTGTGTGTCTGTGTGTGTCTGTGTGTGTGTCTGTGTGTGTGTGCAAACCAGGGAGGAACGAACAGGGGAACACCGGGAGGGGACACAGACACGGGGCCCCTCTGTGTGTGCTGCGGGTGCCCATCTCTGCACACGCGTGTGCCCGTGGGCAGCCCACGTGAGCGGGCAGGGAGGGCCGGGCTGAGTGTGAGCGTGAGTGTGAGCCCTGATCCCAGCCTTCCCCCGGGGCAGAGCCGGCACGCTCCGGCTCGGCGCTGCCAACCCCCGTGGATGCTCGGGATGCTTAAATTAATTCAATCATTAATAACCTGGAAGGCCTCCGGGAGCTTCGCCCCGGGCGGGGGGAGAGGTGCCAAGCGGGATCTTCCCGAGGTCTGGCGCTTGGATCGTTCCCGAGGTCTGGCCCTGGGATCCTTCCCGAGGCCTCGCGCTCGCCGGAGCCGCTTCCCGGAGCCGCTTCCCGGCCGCCGGTGCCGGGGTTAATGCAGTTGGAAGGGATTGTGCTGGAGTGGCAGCTGTGCCCTGTGGGAGCCGAGGGTAATCCTTTGCCGGGGCTGCCTCGTTGTGCGCTGCCAGCCCCGTCCTGCTCTCCTGAGATCCCCCCAAACCCACGGCTGCCCTGGGCAGGGGGGCTCCAGCTTCCATCCCCAAATCCCATGGCTGCCAGCACCTCTGCCAGTGTCTCCCTTCTCTCTTGTCACAGCTCCAAACAGTGCTTGGGGAAGGGCAGAGGCTTCCCAGGAGCCTCTTGAGCCACCTCGTGTCTCTCTACAGGGACCACATTGCCCCTTCTGTGCTGCTGCCGCGGGTGCTGGGTGCCCAAAATCAGCCCCCTGTGTTCAGCCATCGGTTTGGCTCCTCTGCCACCCTCACATGCTGCCAGCTGGGGCCCGAGGAGCATTTTGGGGGGCACCCCGTGCACTCCTGACACGATAAAGCAGTCGAACACCCCCTCCCCAGGCAGTTACTGCCCTGCCATGGCCATGTCCTGCCGAACTCCGGGTCGTGGGAGATGGATTGTTGACACTTGAGCTGCTCAAGGTCACCTGGATGTTGTTAAATCCTGGCAGAATCCAGCGACCAGTGCAGTGGGAAAGGAGCAGCGTGAGGGGGAGAGGAGGTGCCATGCGGGGCCCAGCGACGCAGAGCAGAGCAGGGGCACTGCCAGCCTGGCCACGCTGAGGTCCTGGCACTGCAGAGGGGCAGCCAGGCTGGTAAGGGCTCCTTAGTGCTGGTTTTGCCAAAAAAAAAAAGCTGAATCCATCCATTTTTAGCAAGGAAAAAGGTGCTGCCAGGTCGGTGGTGCTGCCAGTGTGACGAACACGAGCCGCTCAGAAACAGAGTCAGTTCTGCTTTTCATTTCCTTCTTCCCCTTAATCGCATCTAGTCCGGATCAGAGGGATGCAGGGAAGCTGCTGAGGAGCCCGAGGCTGCAGCCAGACCCCCTGTCCTGCACCCACACCTCCCTCCCAGGACATCCAGCCCCATTGTGGCACTTTGCATGGAATCCCAGAATGGTTTGGGTTGGAAGGGACCTTAAACACCGCTTTGTTCCACCCCTCTGCCACGGACAGGGACACCTTCCACCACTTCCAGGGATGGAAGTGTCAACCCATGTCAGGCTGCAGGCCCCGACCTGAAACCCCAAACTGCTTCCAGGGAGTTGTAGGCACCACCAGAGCAGTGGGAAGGCTGAACCTTGGCTGGAGCTTGTCCTGGCAGCCCAGAAATGCTCCCGTCCATGGCAGTGACTGGCTGGTGGCTCTTGGCAGCTCCACATGGGTGCACTGCCCTCCGGCGCTTTCTAGCATGGAAGAGGCTGCAAATTCCAAATTCAGGAAGGGTTCATACACCGGGAAAGCCCTGGATGAGGACTTTGGTCCTGCAAAGGCATTAACAGGTCCTGACAACTTATCCCATCGTCACTCTGTTTATTGATGCCACTGTCCCACGTGAGATCTGACACCGCTGGGAAGGAGCCCAGTGTGATCCAGGGAGTTGGTGTCACCCCTCTGGCCACGGCCTGGCCCTTCGGATGCATCCACAGCCCAACCCCAGGAGATGCACTGAGGACAAACCGGATCACAGGGAACTGAGCTGGTGGAGACAGCAAGGAGACAGCCCTGTGTCCCACCCCCTGTGACATGTGCTGAGGGACTCCGGCAGCGAGGATCCGGGAACTGGGAGATCTCCCACAGGCAGCCCCGAGCTGATCAGGGCTTTTCTTGGAGCCAGCCCAGGACCTGCTCCTCACCCGGGGCAGGAATCCCGCTGCTCCTGCCACTAGTTCAAAGAGAGCAGAGGAGCAGCTGAACACACCAAGGTGTTGTGCTCAGGTCCACGGTGACCCCACAGCAGCCATGGCCAGACCCCCAGCACCCCGATGCCCTCGTGGCAGCAGGAATGCCGGACCCCCGGGAGGACTGAGCGCTGGGAACGAGCGTTCGGAGGAGCCTTGCTGAGCGCTCCTACCAGAAAAAGGCTCTTTTACTGCAACTAGAATTTTATTCTATTGTATAATTCAGGAGTGCATCACAGCCCCGCGAGCCGGGCAGGCACCTACCGGCGCTTCCAATCTAGACACACGCAGAACCTCCTCGTTAGCTGGATCTGTTAATTACTCACCTCCCCCCGGCCGGAGCTTCTGTAACCACGCGCTGCCGAGCGGCTGTCGCGTCCAGCCCGGAAAAGCTGGGACGAGGCAGCACCTCTGCAGAGCTCCTGGACAAAAAGTGACTGTGCCAGAATCAGCCTACAGAGCATTTAACAAAAAAAACAAAACAAAAAACAACCCCTCAGAAAATCTTGCCCATCCTAAGGTTGCTTATCAGTTAAAAAGTTCCTCCACATTTATTTAAAAAAACCAAACAGTAGATTTTAAAAAGCAGTTACGAGTCCTACTCCGGCAAAACACCCTGTACAGGTTTCTTTTGTTGGTGGTGAGGATTCCCCCTAAATCAGCTGCTTCTGTTAATTTTATATATATATTTAATCTTTTAATTTTGCCGCGCGTTGCTTGCTTTAATTCATTAATTTATTTCCAATCAGCCCAGTCTCCACCAGACCAGCGGCGCTACCACACAAAGCTTCCTTGATGTCCATGCCCTGAGCTGGGGTGGGGGGGAGATGGATGGAGGGAGGGCGGGAGAGATGAGTGGAGGAGAAGGAGGAGGAGGAGGAGGAGGAGGGGTGGAGGGAGGGAGAGGAGGGGGAGGAAGCCTTCGTTGGCAGCCCCTCACTCTCCCATGTGCGTCCTCAGGTGGTACTTGAGGGACTGCTTGTAGCGGAAGCACTTGGTGCACTCGGTGCAGGGGTAGGGCCGCTCGCCGGTGTGCGCCCGCTGGTGCTCCAGGAGGTGATGCTTCTGCGTGAAGTTCTTGCCGCACTCGGTGCAGTGGTAGGGCCGCTCGCCCGTGTGGATGCGCTGGTGCTCCAGGAGGTGGTGCTTGCGGATGAAGCCCTTCCCGCAGACGGCGCAGGCGTGCGGGCGCTCCCGCGTGTGGATGCGGTAATGGTTGGTCAGCTTGGACTTCTCGCTGAAGGTCTTCTCGCACTGGCTGCACTGGTAGGGCCGCTCGCCGGTGTGAGTCCGCTGGTGCCGCAGCAGGTGGGAGGGCCGGGTGAAGTTCTTCCCGCACTGGGGGCACAGGAAGGCCATCTCGTTCTTGCCGGCGTGGATCCTCTGGTGCATGAGGAGGCTGATCTGCAGGCGGAAGCTCCTCCGGCACTCGCCGCAGGTGAAGGGCCGCTCCCCGACGTGGGTGATCTGGTGCTTGCTGAGGCTCGACTTGTGGCTGAAGCTGCTCTCGCACTCGGAGCACTTGTAGGGCTTCCCCGGGGGCGGGGGCCGCGCCGGGGGCTTGAGGCCGTGCTCGGGGCGCCGCGGGACCCCCACGCCGCGGCGCGTGTGGCTGCGCTGGTGCAGCAGGAACTGCTGCTTGTTGCGGAAGCTGAGGTCGCACTCGTGGCACTCGTAGGGCCCTTCCTTGAGGTGGTTGCGCTGGTGGATCATGAAGTTGATCTTGAGCATGAAGCTCTTGCCGCACTCGGGGCAGATGTAGGGTCTCTCCCGCGTCCGGTTCCGCTGCTGGGCGCTGGCCGCCTTCATCTCCCCGGGGTCCCTCTCGCAGGCCGACGGCTTCCTCACGCGGGCTGCCAGGCCCCTGGGCTGGGCCTTGGAGCTGCACTGCGCCTCGCAGCCCAGCCCGGCCTCGTGGCTGGGGAACGCCGGCGGCTCGGCCCTGCCCGAGAACATGGCGCACGGCTCCAGCGGGTCGGGGTCGTCCTCCTCCTCCTCCTCCGTCTTGATCACGATCCCGTCCTCTGCGGGGGGAAACCAGAACAGCGTCAGGGTCACGGGGTGGGACGGGGTGGCCTTTTATGCACACAGAGGGTGCTACAGGAACATCTGACGGGCTCCTGCAGCCGTTTGCCCCTCCCTGCTCTGCCCCACCGTCCATAGTGAGCCGGCTGCAGCCAGGAAGGGCCATGTCACCCCTCAACGTGGAGTTCAGACAGACAGCGCCTGAGGGGCCCTCAGACCCTTCTGCCAAAATGCTTGGCAATTCCATGGTGCTGCAGGAGGTGGGGGGTAAAAGCGCCATCGGTTTGCGAGGGCTGAGTGTGGCCGAGTGATTTCGGAGCAGCTCCATCTGCTGCCGTTTCGCTGGGATACAACAACGCTCCCGGCACTGCTCGACGGACACACAGCACCGGGCTGCCGGCATCCCTGGGACAGCACACCCAGCCTGGGAACGGCCCCTTCCCTCAACCTCACCCCCCTCCTTCCCGGCGTGAGCAGCAGTGGGATGGATGGACGCACGTCAGGCTCCCCCTCGTGTCACCAACGCCGGAAGTGACCCGGTGTTTTTGTGTGGTGAGACCTGCCGTGCCAGGGACACATCCCAGGGACACCGAGGAAATCCACAG